TCTCTCCCCCTCTCTTTCTCTCCTTTAAAAAACTCACCCTTTAATTCCTTTTCCTTTGTATATTAAATTTCATTATCATTATTTTCCTTTGGTGGTGTTAACCGAACGTATTTAATTATCAATAATTAATTTCTTTTTTTTCTAATGACAAATTTTTCCATTTTCCAATCATTTTTCTCATTCTCATTATTATTATTATTATACGACAAGTAATCCAACGCCTGAAACGAAAAAAATAAATTAAAACTTGTTTTTTTTTAAGGCGTGACTGAATAAAAAAAAAAGAAAAAAATTTGTTGTTGTTGTTGTTTGTTAGTAAAATTTATAATTTAAAAAAAAAAAAAAAATGATGCGAAACGGAAATAATCCTTTGATAATTTTTTAAATTCATTATCATAAATTTTTTTTGTTTGTGTTTGTGTTTTTTTTTTTTTTTAGATAAAGTAAATTTTTAAAAGTTAAAAATTATTGTTCGGTTGCCATTTTCCTCTGTTTTCTTTTTTTCCGAATAAAAAAAAAAAAAAAGGCAAAACATCATTTATATAATATTTAATTAGTTTTATGGAAACCTTAAAAATGATTCACGAGGTCGTTTAGTCATGAAGGGAAAATTTTTTTTTTTCCAAATTCTTCCTTACCTGTTATTTCTTATTATCCTGTTTGTTTTAACAAATCAATTATTCATTTTTTTTTTTTTTACTAAGTTTCATTATGTAACTTAAAAAATAATTTTTTTTCCTTTCTTTCTTATTTTCATTTGGCTTTTCATTCATTTATTTTGATCCACACTAAAAAGAAAAGAAAAATTTCGCATTATTAAAAAGTGTAAAAAAACAACAATGAAAAGAAAATGGTTTCAAGTTTGAAAAACATTACAAAAAAAAAAAAATATAATTACATCACTTTTCCTTTTTTTTTTTGGTCGTTGTGAAAAATGAACGGAAAAACTTAAACGTTGTTTGTTTGTATTCTACCTTTTGGTAATTTTTTTTTTTTTTCACACACCGTAAACGTTTTCATTGATGTCCAGTAGAGAGAGAGAGAGAGAGAGAGATTAAATTTAAAAAAGACAAAATACCGAAGCTTTTTTGTTCCCCTTCTCCCTTTTCCTCTTTTTTTCGTTTTTCTGTGTCCTGAAATAAAACAAACGTTAAATGTTATTTTAAAAAAAAAAAAAAAAAACATAATTGAAAGACTTAAAAACCATTTTCTTACCTTTGTTCAAAAGTACCATTTTGTTTTTCCCCTCCCCCCTCGAAATGAAAATTATTCAACAACAACAACAACAAAAAACATGTTTTTTTTCTCAGTTTCAAGGCCTTATACCACGTACGAATGCGTCATGATTTCTATTTTCCACTTTATAATTTTTTTTATAATTTAACGATTTTTCCATGTGATGGCGGATCAAATTGTTGTCTTGTCTGTCGTCATAAAGTAGTTCGACATAAAAAAAATAAATAATAATTTTTCAACGTGAAAAAAAAAAAAAAAATTCGATAGAAAATAAATAAAAATCCGATTCTTTGGTGGTATCTGACTAATACTTAATTACCAATGAAGGTCACTTTGTGGATAAATATCTGAAACACGTCATTTTTTTTTTTTTTTTTTAATAGTAAAAATATTAAAATAAAATTATTAATTTTTTTTTTTTTTTTTTTTATAGAATGGCGCCTAAATACAAGCTTACATATTTTAACTTCACTGGTTTAGGAGAGCCTATTCGTTACATGTTGGCTTACGGTAATCAAGATTTCGAAGACAACCGGATCGAAATGGCCGATTGGCCAAAATTGAAACCAAGTAAATAAATAAAAAAAAATCAAATAACGCTTTTTTTTTTCTTCTCTGTCTTCCTTCTTTTCCTTCCTTCCTTTTTTTTGTTACGTTTGACCGAATCCCGAATTAAATTTTTTATTATTATTATCGATTTACAGCAACACCTTTCGGTCAAGTTCCGGTTTTGGAAATTGATGGAAAACCCGTCAATCAATCAGCTGCCATTTGCCGATATTTAGCTA